CCCCCCCCCCCCACCCCACCCCATGCCGTGTCCCCGCCCCAGCCGAGCCCCAGCCTGTGCCCCTACAGCTCAGCTGTACAGTGATTCCTCTGAACAGATTCCAGACAGATGCCGAGTATCTCCGTGAATGTAAAGTGATTTTTTTTTTATTATTTTTTTTAAAAATGCTGCTGTTTTATTTTTTATACAAACTAAAACACCAGAGGTCATTGAATCCTATATTAAATACATAAATTAAAAAATAACCATTCATAAAACTTTACATACAATAAGGATTCTCTCCTACACGTTAATACATATAGTACAGATACATGTCCAGTGTTTATCAAAGGGTCATTCTGCCAAGTCATTTACAATTTTGTTCTGGAATAGACACCAAAAAAATTGGGAACAAAAAAGTATATATAAAACCACAGAGGTGCTGATGTGAGGGAGGGCAGGGGAAGAGAAAACCCTTTGGATCACCAGCAGCTGTGTGTCTGTTGTCTGAGCCCTGCCCCAGTCAGGAGAGCCTGGCCTGGGCAGTCCTCTTGGGATGCCACGGAACGGAAAGCAGTGGGGTTCAGAGGATGTTTCCCACTGAGATGAGGGCAGGGGGTTGGAAGATGAAGAACACCTACAAAAAAGTCTCCATGACCCCCCAGGCACATCAGTAAGAGAGGATGGAGCTGTGAGCCAGGCTGACAGCACTGCAAGAAGAGCCATTTCCTTCTGCAACCCCAACTGCCTAAATTCATCTCGCCTAACCAGGCCCTCATCTGAAGAGCTTAAATTGAAACTGTCTTTGAAATCTCCCAACTTGGTCAGTGGAGAAAAAGCAGCAAGTCAAATTGTGGTCAAGCTGATGTGCACTACCTTCTGTGGCTCACCTCCTGCCTCAGCAGGACAGAGAGCCTGGAGTGCTGGTACTCCTCAACAGGGATGGATGGGAGGGATCCAGGGCTGTACTTGCTGTCCTCAAAGGCTGCAGTAAACTGATTTTTATTTTGCTGGTTGGTTTTGGGGAGGGGAGGTTGGCTGCAGTGACTAATCTGAGGGGGGATTCTCAATCCTTTGCTTCGATGAACATCAGGAACAGCAGAAAACCCAGGATTAACAGTCCCAGGACAGAGAAGGGTCCAGAAAAAGGATCAAAAAACTAGTTGCCCATGAGATGTGAAACTAAAACTGGAGGAGTGTACCAGTTGGGGCAGCTAAACAAGTCTAGATTCAGTTCCCCATACCTAGATTGAAGTATACTTTCATCAGCTATAGCAACGATTTCTATATACAACAGGGAATAGATAGGTATATGCATATATATGTATATATATGTACATATACACTATATATAGATACATGTATATATATATACACAAACATTAAACTCATTTAGATCTAGCTGATAGCAGGACGTTTGTATTAACTCATATCAGCAAGTGTGTTTTAGGCATGGCATGTGTGACGCTGCAAGGGGAGTAAAGCAGCGGCGGTTCAGCTCCATGGAGGGAACAGCAATCTTTGAAAGGTTTGCAGACCCAGGTCTGCTGTGGCCAGACCACCACCCCACCCTGAGCCCTTGGGAATGGAGCACCTGCAGGCATATGTATACACACAGGAGTAAGGGAGGGCAAATTGGGTAAAAAAGAGAAATTAAATAAGACAACAAGGCTCAGAGAGTCTAAATGATGAAGCCTGCCACAAGATCAGTCAGTTTTTTCTATCTGTGCCATAAACCTTCCCTGTGATTGCCTGAAATAAATGTTTCTAGTCCCTTCTTTTTTTCCTTTAGCCAAACCAGTGGTGGAAGTTATTGCACTGTCATTGAAACCAGGTGCTGCTTATTCTTCTGCAAGAAGAGCTCAGTGCTTCAACTGCCAGCCCTAATGCTGAGGAAAGCAGCCTAATGGTGTGAAATTAAGTGGTGCTGCAAGAGGGGAGAAAAGAGTGAGGGGGGAAGAACGAATAGCCAGTGAGACACCCCCCCCCCTTTTTGTAGCTATCAAACTGTTGTAAAGCTGCTAGTGATCTCCAGCTGTCACAGGGGTGGGACAAGGCTTCCCCCGACTCCAGAACTTCAGGACTGAACTGCTGGCTCATGGAAAGCACGTGTACATTTGGGTCAACCTGATCCACAGAGTCTTCTGCTGAGGAAAAGGAATTTGAACAAAGAGCATGCAACGTACCTGCAGTCGTGTAACATATATGCCTACAAGCCTGTCTTTTAAAACAATGAACCAACAAACATACAGCAGAACTCAGTGCAGAACTCAGTGAACCCCTCGGCTGAACTAGAGTGCTTCAAGAAGATGTGGTCATTCTATAACTTAAACCAATTTTAAGGAGCAGGGAAAAAAAATCATTTGCTAATAGCTTCTAACCTTTGATGAAAGGCTTATCACAATATCCTGGCATTCAAGAAATGAGGATGTAAGGAGTCTGTGGAGAAACTGAGCCCAGCATTGCTATGCAGTTGGGTGAATGGACATTACTGATTAAAAGCTATTCTGGCCAAGAAAAAAAGATATCTGTGAGGGGCTGGCACCCTTGATACTAGAGAACTTCCTCCCTGCTAAGGCCACAGAACTGCTTTTGACCTGACAAGTTGCTGTGGCAAGTGACTTCACTGCTTTGTGCCTCAGAAGCTTCATATGTAAAAGTAAACAGGCAAACAAAGGAGAAGCTCTTTGAAAAGCACTTTTTGATGAGCCGTCTGTGTGCGTAAGATGTTGGTACATGTGAGCCCTGTTTTGAAGGTGTAGGTAATACACAGGCTGTATTCTGGCCCTTAATTTTCTAGTTTGTAGTACAGACATCCACTTCTCCCAGTTAAAATTAAGGCTCCATCGTGGAAGACACAGCCTTGCCACAGGAACCCCGAAGTCTGCCCAGGCATGACTCCATTCCCAGGAAAATGAAAGCCGAGGCACAGAGATGTGCACTGTCAGCCCACCAGTGAGGGAAGGGAGGGTGGGTGCAGCTGGCTGTGCTGCTCCCCGCGGCACAGGACCCTCGCAGGGTTTGCTGCAGGGTGATGCTTCTCAGGGTCGTTTTTATAGAGTACTGGGGGCGTAGACCTGTGACCCTCAGGGAGGCACCAGGGCCGGGTTCCAGGCTTCGTGATTAGAGAGGTAAGTAATGCTTTGAAATGCAAACTGCTTTTAGTTACTCTTAACAGTGGAAAAATCTAAACAGACTAGCAATACCTCTTACTTGTAATGAGGCTGTGTTCACACAGCTTTTCCCCATTTTTAGTTTATGTGTCATTAATCAGGAAGCCAGCTAACAAAGTCAGTAGACAAGCTGAACCAAAACATTTGTTCCAAGCTGGGACAAAACAGTTGGAAGCTGATGCTTTGTGGATCATGTCAAATGGGCTTCCCCCGCCCCCCCGCCCCATCCTCCAACATTTGTTTTCTTTCTCAGAAGCTACTCTGTAGGTCCAATCCAGTGATCCTCAGTGGTTATTCAATAGTAAAACCAAGTATAGTCATTATTATCTCAACGGCAGTCTTTAAAGAGTATGAAAAGTATCTGATAATAGACAGGCTGTTCTTCATGGAGGGACAGTGAAGAGAGATAAGGCTTCAACTCTGTCGGGAACCCTCCTTACACCACACACCCTCTTCTCCCCTTCCTTGGCCAAGGCGGGTGGTGCTGTGTTACGACCTCAAGCACAAAACGTGGTGACCTGTCCTGCCCATCCTGCAATAACCCAGACCGGTTCATTTTCCTTTCTTCCTCCCACATTGCAGCTGTCATTTGTTCCTGAGGTTAAAACCAAAGAGGGAGAGCAGGAGTCCCTGCAGCGAGAAAGCCGCACAGTTCAAGCCGAGCGCTTGGTTGTCGGCATCTCCCCACGGCTCGAGTTTCTCCTGCTCTGTCCTGTTCGCTTTTGATCCATTTGTGGGATGACAGGGTGACATTTAAATGATTGCCCTGCACAGCAGGGATAGATTTTTCTGTTGTAACTTTGGTTCCATGCCCAAGACACACTGACTTGATCAGCTGAAAGTGGTTCCTTCCCTTTAAGTTCTTCCCGGGTGATGTAGGTTCACAGTTCATTTTTCTTCCCCTTTCGTAATTTCAACATATAGAATTTCATTAGATGCAGCATATGTCATAGCTTTAGACAGGAACTGTCAGGTAACAAATTTTGAGTGATGGCTTTAAAATACAAGGTGGTTGCAGTCTTGGCTACAGGTTGTTCATTTTTATACTTTTTAAAATAGGTGTAAACAATATTCTCTTCATCGGGGGATGGAAGCATTTGCCTTTATAAGGACTTATCTGGGTAGTCGGGCACTCTAAAAATAAAAATAAAAAAAAATCTGTATCAGGTAAGTGGTAAGTTCCTCTACCTACCTATCCCAGCTGCCAAGATGCAATCTATCAATCAGGAAGCTGAAAAGGTCTGATCTTACAGCTACCAGTGTTAAACTGGTTTTGTTTGTCTGTATGAAAAGCATTTGTGAAAATTCCAGGCATTTTGCTAAGCCTGTCCATTTAAACCCCTCAAAGCCCAGCCCTCTGGTCCAGAAAAGTCCCCATAGGCATCTTCAGATGAATAGTTATGCACAAGTTTCAATGACTCTTGAACCAAAGCTGCCCAAAATTCACCCCTGACAGGAGACATGGCAGCAAGCAATACCCTTGTGGTGTCAGGGCAAGCCCAGAATTTTGGCTAATATAGCACCGAGGCAAACACAGAATGCTGCTGTCCCGAGGAAGCCTTCCCTATGGCTTTCCCTATGGAAAAGAACTTTAGTTCTCAGGTTTGCACCTAGGGAAAAAAGGGCACCATTTTGTCTTTGTTCTCCCAGCATTCAAGCCTACATAGTAAAATTCACTGGGTGCAAAATCCACACAGACCACACTTATTTGTGATCACAAATAAGTGAATGTGTAAGTTCACAAACACAGAGAGAATGCAGGTAGGAAAATCCCACGTAAACAGGAATTAGAGAGCTTCTGGTCTGCATACAATATACTGCTGCACATGGTTTCCCCCGTGCTTGTCCCTTGTTATCTCAGTTCAGCAGTGAGTGCTGTGTTCACTCTGGGCAAGAAAGAAACCAGAAAGTATAATCTGTGACTGCACTGTGGTTTTCTCTCACCTGGTGAAAAGGTCCATAAAGAATAAACTGCATCAGGGCATGAACAAAACCAAAGAACTTTCACCACCAAGTGGCTCCCTAGGTGCATTTCAAGGAGGAGTTTAGGGTTTTGTTTGTTTGTTTGTTTGAAGTCCCTTAGGATAAAGGTAACACAGTTCACTTGCATCCAGTGGAAATAAAGAAATATACCTCAGTAGTTGTAATAAGAAGAAATGGTGATGGCACACTCCCCCTGCCATTCTCACCTTTGCTGAGTTTGTCACCTGGGTAGGCAGGTGGTTTTTAACGTGAGTGGGAAACACAAATCAATGTTAGTTATTCTCTCTGATTCCATGTATTCCAGCCTCAGAAAATATGATGTTGTTAAAATCCCTCTCAATCTCGCCAACTCCATTCCCAAATTGCTTCTGTCTGGAGATTTTCCCTCAGGTAGTGAGGGGAAAGAATCCCGTGGAGGAAAACAGAGGGGTGAAGGCAGGGGACGAGGAGCTTACCATTGCCTTGTTTTTGAGGAACTGCTACAAGACTTGATGCTTTGCACCTGTGGAGTGCCTGGCCTTGGTAAAACACTCTACAGGTATCATGCGTGCTGTGATGCTGGGCCTGCTGCAGCTCTTACAGTTCAAGGGAGTTCACAGCAGTGCAGATCCTCTGGAAAAGCATTGAGTTTATGTATCCCACACACACACCTCACCCATAAGATTTTTCCACTTTCACTGTCAATGTCCCGTTCTCTAAGTCACTGTATCTCCACCGCTGTCACGGCTCCTGCCCCGGTCACTCAGCTCACCCTAACCCGTCTTCTTGATTCCTACCTGGCATTCATAAAGCCAAATATGCAAAAGAATCCTTCATCTCCTGAGCGGTCCTAGGAGTAGCACAACCCAACAGCAGGCTCCCTGGGGCTGTAAACCACATTTCAGCTCTCGCTGATGCTTCTTGTCCTCTCCATGGGGAACTGGACCCCCGTGTGCCCCCGGGACCAGCCACTACGGAGCAACAGTGAATTCCAGGAGTGAAACTCATCTTGGCACTGCAGTCAGAGCAGCCTTCCTGGGCTCACCAAAGTGACACCAAAGGGATTTACAGCTGCTAAACCTTAGATGCTGCGTAAAACAAGTGGAAAACCCACTGAAGGAGATGGGGCTGAGCTGGGGGGCAGGGTGTGGGGCAGGGAGGGAAGTGAAGTCTTGACACATCCCTAGGGGATCCATGTAACCCCCCTGCAATGACAGCAGTCAGTGCTGCAGCTGGGACAGTCCTGTCAGCCGTAAAGACAGCAGAGAAAGGCTTATGTTGCCTTTCACTACTAGCCCTGCTCAAGGAACGTGCCAGTGAGGTGGATCAGCTCAGCAGGAAGAGAGAGCTGGATGGGACCCAGCAGCCCCTGCAGGCAGAATGACTGCAAGTGAATAACAGCAAATCTGCTAGAATTTTAGGAGAAATGTGGAGTTCTGACCTTAAACACCCCATCAGTTTTTCTAACCACCAATACCTCCCCTCAAATTAGGCCAAAAGGACATAAGTGTTAGCAAATGTGGAGGTGGTGGTCTATTTTAGATGGTCTTGATTCTTCTCCTTTTCTATTCTTGGTTCCCCCCTTCCTGCTCTGAGAAGAGGGAAGGAATGGCTGCTCTGGAAAGAAGAATGCAGTCTGCCTTCGAGTGCATTGCAGAGCTCATTGTGAGGCTGCTCAAACACATTTTTTCTTTGCATGCAGACACTGAAATGTTACAAGGCACTAGAGATATTTTCATAGGCTCCAAGACAAAAGATTAATCAGCATTACTGGAATTCCAATGTCAGAATAATAGGGGATTTTCTTTTCTGTTTTGAGAAATGCCTATTTCAAAAGATACTGCTATATAATTGCAGTTCCTGAAAAGCCAATTTTCTTGTCTAGAGGGTCTGTAATTCTCAGCATGCCTCCTCTGTGCTGGCATACCAAACCATGCAGACAGTCCCAGGAAGTACACACTGGCATTTTTTCCCAGGACCAGGGATTTTGTATTCTAAATTACAGTAGAATTAAATTTTTCATGTGAATCATGTTTTTCTTTTCTAATGAAAAATATTCTAATGGAAAGATTTTTACGCATTTTTGTGAATATTTTTGTCAGTTCTATCTACCACTGATGGTTTTTTTAAGCTACAGAAAAAAAAGTTTTTTTCAAAACTAATAACCATTTAAAAATCAGGAAGACAACATTTCCTGATGAGTTCTAATACTAATGAAAATTTTAATTGTTATTTCTCAGGATGCATGCTCTACTGCAAAGGCTTCACTGCATGCTTCATCTTAAAAGAGACAGGATTAGGAAAAACTGTTCAGTAGTTGAATGTCATGAATGCATTTTTAATCAAGGTGACCTAAACTGAGCAGTGTTGTCCTTTGAGGTATTCCCTGGTTTCTTACTTTTGAAGAACTCTTACTCCACCACAGCCAATACCAGTATTGGTAAAACTAGGATGTATAAGCTTCTTACCAATTCTGTAGCTGTACCAGAAGAGGCAAATAGTCACTAGAGAACCCATTCCAAACCCATACAGGTGGAAAATGTAGGTGCAAAATGTATATACAGCAAACTCTAAACCTCTTATTACCCAAGTTTTTCTCGTATGCTGCACAAGGACATTATTGTAGCTGTCACAGGAACTGAAATAGGATGACACTACAGGCAAATGGAAAAAAACTCATGCAGACAGGTTCTTGCAAATGCCACTGTCAGCTCCTGTGAGTTTTCAAGGTGCACCTTAAATCCAAGAATTTTTTTTATTTGGAATCTCCCCCTAGGTTGACTGCTTGTTCTGGACTCCTGATCCTGCGGTACAGCAGAAGACACAGTCACTTAAAACTATTTGCTGCTACTGCATACAGTGAAAATTTTGGCTTCTTAATATTACCCTGTCCCTAATTTGGCTGTTTCAGAAGACTTTCTGATTTTTTTTCCCCACTGTGAATAAGTGAGAAATTGTAAAGTCACATTTCCACCAGTCACAGCCACTCAAAACATCTCGCAGCTGCTGTGCTGTGTCACGGTTCCCAGAAACCCTGCAGCAGGAACATTACTAAGTATGCAGTCAGAACTTAATCTGTTTAATGATCACTGGATCGAGGCAGCATGTTTTAAATAGCAGCAGCTCAATAATGATATTGGCTGTTGTTTACAGGAGCTGCGATCACTGATCTGTCCATTCCTCTGATTCTTTTCTACGGCTCGTTCCCCATCCAGCCCAACCTACACATATATTGGTGCCTCAGCCCATAGAAACGTTCATTTTGAGGTCTGGCTGGACAAGGAGGCAGATTCCATTTGATGTGGATAACTCTGAGAGCTGTGTCTGCATCTGCACAAAACTGAAATCCTTGATCTAGCTGGAACGAAGCACAAAGTAGGGGCTTTTCCTTAAAGGGAAAAGGAAAACCCACAGACCTGGACCCAAGGCACTTAATTGTAATCAATACCTTGAATTGCACCTGGAAACAAAGGCTGAGCTGGTACAAATGGTGGAAGGACATGGAAGAACATCTTTCACACAACTGTATTCTTGGCTTGCCTTAAGCGCAGACCAGAGGAATTTATTCACTGACACAGCTGAAGCCAGAGCCAAGAGATACAGTGAGAAATTCAATGGTATGGGTCTGCCCCCAAATCAGAAAATTCTGCTCCACCATTACATGTTCTTGAGACTTTAACATAACGTTTTCTAGGCTGTGTTCTACTTCTGTTATCCTGGCTCAAAGAAAGATTGTTCTATCCCATCATCCCGGCTCTGGAAGTGGCTTGCCACAGATGGAAAAATGGGACCATTACAGTTCTCTGATTTATTTCCCCATCTTCACACTGCTTTTTGAACTCTGAACTTTCAGCTGCAAAACATGCTGTGACAAAGCCTTCTTTACAACCCTGTATCCTTAACTATCAATTTTCGTTTCCTTTAAGCTTATCACACAATGATTGCTTGTACTTGAGGAGACAGTGAATGATAGCAAGCTATCCATCCACCCATCCATCCTATGACAAATTTTCTAAACCTCTCCAATACCACCTTTTAACGGTGTGACTTCCTGAGCCAGAAAAATCCTTCCATCTCTCTGTCTCCCCCTTCCTGTCTCTCAGCAGCTCATCTTTCTTCCTTGCCCTCCTTTGCATCCTTCCTACTGCTGGACACAGAGCTCTACCTGTTACAACCTCCTGACTTATTTCCTGAGTGTCACTTCAGAGCCCATCACAGTGTGTATATGGTTGAGATTATTATAACTGTTTTCCATCTGCATCCCTTTGCAAACATCAACATTGAATTTCACCTGCAATTCTCTTGGCTGTGTGATGTTGTGAAATTCTTGTTAGCTTTTATTTTTACAATCCTGAGTAGCACAGTATCACCAGTAGCTCAGCAGCAGGACAACCCCCTGTTGTGAACTATTACAAATTGGCAACAACCTGCTGAATTCGCTGGCTCCAAACATCCACCAGAACACACAAGGATGTGATCCTCAGCTCTCTGCAAGAAGTGCTAGCTTTGGGGAAATAAATAAAACAGTCTTACCTTTCCAAGAGGCACATTGACATCAAGGCCAAAGAATAAAGGCAAGAGAGAAGAACAAGAATAGAAATAGAAACTGCAGAAGAAAAAGAAGATTGTGTAAGCATCAGAATTATTTTTGCACTCAGCAGAACAATTAGAGTAATTAGGCATTCCAAAACCACTGTATTTCCCTAGTTACTTCTGTAAGTACCATACCACCTCCCAGGCTTAGAAAACAGATCCCACTAATTCCAGTGATGGATTACAACTGGCACAGTATTGAAAGCCTGAGGTGTAACTGTTACTATGAACCCCCAAGGGTTGACTTAAGTCACAAAGCTGGATATCAAAAATAGCATGGGGAGTATTTTTAAGTGCATTAAAAAACAGTGGCTGCAAGCCACGCTGGAAATGGCCTGGGAATACATATATATATGTATACATGCACATATTACACACACACAAAAAATATTTATCAAATATTAAATTAATTAACAATTTAACACATTTAAATAATGTAATGTAGTATTGTAATATTAAAGTCTGTATCGACTGACACAGACTGAAAAGAAAGGACAGTAAATCACCACCAGTGGGTGCAGCTGACTGAGTGGAACAGAAAGGTCGTGCAGTTCAAGAGCACTGGGTCCCTACTTTCAAACCACAGTTGATCATCTTGCTTCAGAAGCATAAGAAAACCAACCTTCTCCTCCAGATCCTTAATTTGTCTCTTTTGGATGTCAGTTTTATCTTCCAAATCTCGGATCCTCTGGAAATCAGAAAAGAAAGCATCTACCTTAATTTCTCAGTAAATCTGTTCCACTGAACTAGTAACTTAATGTTCCAAGTGCAAAAAGCCTAGAAATCCATTTCTGTGGCAGGGATAATCTTGTGTCATACTGTGACTCCATCCCCCCACCCTGCCAAACCACAGCTTTACCACATGTTCAACTGCTCAAAATATGATCCTACACACATGTAACTGGATTCTCAAATGCTGGAAATTAATATCAATGGTGGCTTTGTTTCACATTATCTGTTTTTTTATTAAGCCTTTGTTAAATAGATGGAAAGTGTAAGATCATGGTTATACTCTTTGCATGCACATAAAAGACACAAAGCATGAAACAATTCTAAAAGCTAGATGCCAGGCTCCCTCATGGCCTGGAGCTTGACTAAATTTGACCTCAGGTTGTGTTCCTGTACAGCAAGGCTGAATAGGTAGATGTGTGTAGTTCTTTTCTTACCTGATGAGCCTGCTGGAGCAGCTCCATCCTCTCCTGAAGAATCTGGCAATCATATTCTCTGCTCTTCCTCAGCATCTGACGCCTTAGCTTTTCTACTGCTGTCCTCAGCTCTTCCTGCTGTTTTTCAGTGAGTAGTTCCCCAAACTTTATCACCGTTTCTTGCTGCAAAGCATTGTACAAGGTGGCCTCAAGCTCCTGGATCCTCTGGTTGATGCAATACCAAAAGCCAGTTAGAGATGAAACATGGTTTAAAGCACATTGGGAACTGGGGGGTTGGTGGCAGATTCCCTGCATGAGAGGTGGTCCCTGTGCTCAGTTGTGCAAAAATGTGAAAAACAGAACTCGGAAAACGGTTCCGTGTTCTGGAAAAAGGATATGAACTTTTATTTTTAAAATATTTTAATACTAATTTTCACTGAAATCCCGTACTCTTACTTTTTTTAAATGCACTTAACAGAGATGGAGTTTGATAGAATTTTCATACCTATTTTAAGGGTAAAATATTTCACCAATTCTAAAACTTCAAGCCATTGTGCTAAAAAACTCCAGTTGGACAAGCTGACATTAATGAGCAATATCTGCCTTTAACTGTTCTAGACTTCAGGAAATGTTGCCTTTTTACGACATGAAAAGGCAAGATGCTGTGTTGAAGCCATGCAGATTGCATGCTAGTACATCAAATAATGAGAAAAAAATCAAAATTAAAAACCCCCCAATGCTAAGAAAAAAAGCAAAACCCTCTCTTCCTGATTCAATAAGAGTCTATGCCCTATTGCAGGGCTGTCCAGTACGTGCTGCACAATTTCCTTTGTACATACCATGTATGCTTGGTCAAGAGCTTGTTTCCTGTAGTCTAATTCTTCCTCCAAATAACCTTTTATTTTGCAAAATTGCTCCTACAATGAAGGATCATTTGGACAGAAAAATGAATTAGTTACTCCAAATACTTTGGGAAGTTTTATGAAATCATCTACAGATACCTGATTCAGCAGGATGAGGAGACTGGTTCTCAACTGACTCTCTGCAGAGTTATTAATAAGGTAGTAACTTTAACATAACACTGTTTGCTTTCATTACATAATTCATTAGTTTTTCACTGGTCCTGAATAAAATGTAATACAACAGCTGATGTTTAGACTATGAATCTTATGAGACAAAGAGTGCAGGCACTTACATCCCTGAAAATTATTGAGCAACCTTTGAGCCCTCTGTACTTATTAATAAACAGTCATCCTCACGGAAAGAGAGAGAAAGCTTTCAAACTTTCACTATTTCTGTTTCTGTTATTCTGCTGTTGCATGTGAACCAGACTAGGAACAATTTCATGGATTCACCAATAATCAGAGAAAGGCTGCATAGTGCATTTGCCAATAGACTCTCCTACTTCTCTTTTGGCACATCAACTAAGTGTGACACATTCAGTGTCCCCAGAATGTGTAATAAGGAGAGTTTTCTTACCATATCACTTTCCAGTTCCATCATTTTCTGATGCAGAGCAGCTTCAGCTCCCTCAATCTGCTGGATCCACTGGAGGGAAGACAATGAGAGCTGTACCCTGCTGTGTTTTCTAGGCACACGAGCAGTGGGATATCTACAGCTTCTTGTTAGTCTGTTTTTAGTAACCTATTGCTAGTTCTGGGCTCATCCTGGGGCTGTTCTCCTCCTGTGACAGAGGCAGCCAGGATGTCTGCAGGCAGCACTTGGCAGGGAAGCAGCAGGAGGGTCACCACTGCCGTGTCACTGGAAGATGGACACGTCCTTGGATGGGCAGGGAGCCCATTTCATCCCATGGATAAAGGCCCACAATGAGGCTGTAGCTTCTCAAAAATAGCTTAGCTGGCCAGATGGCAATTCTGCTTGCAGAAGTGGAATTGTTCACTAGAGTCCTTCGAAGCTCTCATGTTGATGAAACTGTTTTGCACTTGAGCCTCAGAAAGCAATTTTAACCAACTTTTAACCCCACTTTCTTTTTCATTTCCAAAACACGGAACTTAAAACACATACTGTCAGTGAAATTTTGGGCACAGACCCCTTCAGAAGCTTTAGAAACCTCAGGCCTAGAAATCTCAAACTATATCTACTTATGGCTTAAATGTCTGATAGTTTTTCATTCAGTTTTCCATTTCAAGTTTTGTTTGATATTCTTTTTGTATTTGCAGTTATCTCCACAGCTTGGGCCAGATGAGTTTGGTATTTTTGCTGGCTTAGAAGGTGTTTGGGACTCTGCTGACACAATTTATTTGGGGAATCACTTTCAGTGCTAGAAAGTTTGACAATATTGACAACAACAGGGCATAAAATGTGTTAGATGAGGCTTTAGATAACACCTGAGAAAAGCAAGTACACAATTTACCTTTTCTGCCAAGGACAATACGGTGGAAGCCTGAATTATGGCCACTTGTTCTTCATTTCTTAAATTCTGTGACGAGAAAGTGAGGAAAAGAGAAAATTGGCAGCAGTTTCCTGCATGAATAAGGACAATCCAGCCTACAGACGAGGTGAACAGTTTTCAGAGGATCCCTGAAGTGCTGAATATCCTATTCCCATTGAAACATTCAGAGCCCACTGCTTCTGCCCTTCCATATGATATGGACTAACTGTATGTCTTCATTAAATTGCATCTTATGAGAAATGTAAACTAAAATGAGACCCATTTGTTTCTCTTCATGCTAGTTTTACAAAGGTGAGTTTCCATTATTAAAGCTTTTGTAAAAATAATGCTGATTTACACCAGCACATGAATAGACAATCATGATGCTTTGGGATTTTTTTCCTTGTACACTCTCTTAAGACATATCTAATGTTGGCCAGAGATACAGGATGATCTCTTTTATGTGGGCAGCAGTGCCCTCTTAGAAAGCCACAGGGAATTTGATAATTATTGCCTATTTATGAAACTGTTTGGAGGAGTCTTAGTCCTGAGGAAGAGTGGTTGACTCAGACTGTCAAACTAATTCATGTGCTTTCCTGAGTGAATGGAGCACAGTCAGGCCCAGTTCCAAATATCAGTGGCCTCTGGACATTCTTCCCAGTCTGCTAAACCAGACGTAAAAGATGCATAATTTAAAAAGCATCTTAGAAAACAGACATAATTACAGGTATCACTTACTGTGCTGTACAAAATGCAGCTTGTAAAGGGAAAATATCTCCCATTTCAACTTACCCCATTATCACCTAGGATGTCTAACTGCTTTATGAGGTCTGGGATGCTGACATCCTGCAACGAGAGAAGAAGGTAAAGGCATGGCATGCACCTTTCATCATGGTTGCAATATCCACCCCTCCTATGATATGAACCACGTGGAAATCAGCCATTTTGTTTTATCCTGTGGAAATGCATCACACATTGATTTTGGTTGCCTTTGAACCAGATTTTATCATTATGGTGAGAATTTTGAGTCTAACTGAACTGTGTCAGTCACCACACTCTTACATTAGACTGAGTTTAAACGCCTGAAATTTAGTGGAATTATTAGTAAGGGGTTATATGGGCAGCACCCACCACCCCTGCAGGGAGAAGCACTTATAAAACTGACCTACCTTAACCCCTTCCTTCATGCAGTAGATCTGTAGAGCACTCACACCATCTGAGAATGGGTGAATCTGGAGATTAAATGGTGGGGACCGTCTCTCTCTTTCCTGCAAACAAATTGGCAAATATGCCAGAAGAAGATATTAAAATAAATGCACACAGAAAATGCCACAGCTGCTGTTTACACCATGTTTCACAAAGCCAAGCTCTTCATTTTACAAGTCGAAGGAAGAAACATTTAGACCTAGTCTGAAAAAGTGTGCCAAGAGGGGCAGGATCCTAAACCCAAGCTAATTGTTTTACAGGAGATTATTTGATGAATTATGTCAATTTGCAAATTGTCTGTGGAAAGGCTGTCACCTAGCTCAAGTGATTTGATATCTGAAGTTCTGAAGAACTATGTGTTGTTGTAAACACTCCCTTTAGAAACAGGTGTTTGACTTTACACCATTAGGACACTCAGATTACACATTTGCTATCCTGGTACCTTGTACTTTCTAACATCTGTGGAAAACAATATGGTCAAAAAAGTTGATCAACTTAGGTATTTCTACATCTTTGTTGCTTAAAATTTACAAATATTTGTCCAGTTTTAAAGGGCCGAAGACAAAAATAAAAATTTGATGATGTTATTTCTTATTCCTTTCAGGTATTCAGGCAAGCACAGAAGTGAAGATGAAACTTCACTTTCAAATTCATTTTTAGTTTATGAACGTTTAATTCACTTGATCAGTCCAGCTCCCTGTCACATGGAAACACAGCTGACAGGTAGAACTGTGGGTCACTTCTATAAATAAGGGGAGAGACTCACACAGCACTGATTTACGAGACCCAGGAAGGGCTCTGTGTGGCAAATGTATTTGGCCTTGGGCAGCAACTGAAATGAACAACTGAAAAATAAACCAGTTTACAGTGGATATTAGGGCAGGTGAAGTTTTGATTGGCTGGCATGACAAGAATCTCTAACTAGGGGCAGTCTGTGAAGAGGGAGCTTGAGGTCTGGCCCGTCCATACTTCAGCTCACAATTAACAGTGCTGGGCCTGATCTGTTACTGTTTTATTGCCACATCACTCGTTTAAACCCTTGATTAAAGTGGGTGTCCAGTGCAAGTGCACTCTAATTTTCTACCAGCTCTCCTGTCAGGAGCCCATCCATCACCTCCAGCTCAAGGTTGCGGAACTCCAGCAGCTCGTTCTGGTCTCGGGCATCCTGCAGCTCCTGTTGCAGACGGTTGTTTTCTGCTTCCAGTTTCTCTATCTAACAGAAATATGTAAAATCAGGATCTGTGTGACTGTTACAAGAAACATTAAACATTTGGTGAGTAGTAGTTGAGGTAGCACAGGCTGTGCAAAATCAAAACCCTAGAGATGGTTCACAGGATCCAGATAACCCTCCAGAGTGAACATGCAAAACTTGGGAACACACCTTGTCTAAAAGTTCTTGGTTCCTCTTAATGAAAAGCTGCTTGTCTTCCACCCAGTGTGAGTCCTGTTGGATGAAGCAGTACAGTTACACAGTAATCAAATTCCACAAGGCTGGGCACATTTATTGACAACTGGAGCCACAATATCCAGGCTTTAAAATCCTACAGGAACAAACTGCCATTTACAGATCAACATATTAGTCTACCAAGCTGTAGCAAGACTTATGACCTTGCCAGACCTGCCTGTTTACTGACCAGCAACACTGCATCTCATGGAACTTTATACTGAAACTGTGCCAGGTATTTTGTAAGCAGAGCGGGTGAGATACAAAACAGGGGAAAAAAAAAACCACAATAATCACTTACCTGTCCTTTCTGTGCCAAAGTTTTCTCCAGATCTTCTATTTTGGCTCTATACCTCTGGACTTCAGCTTGGAGCTGCTCCTGAGCCTGTTGAAGTCAGGCACAGCATTAAACAGTGACAAAACCAGCACTGTGACTGGTAGTAAAAGGAAACCAAAACCAGCAGGGCCTGGGTTCATGCTGTCAGTTCCACTGAGTGAGAAACCACTAGAAAGATTCGGACTCAGTGATGTTTTTTGTGCCAGCCCTCAGACTGGCACACGGATGACACAAGGGAACGCAGTGGTGGATCAGCCCCAGCTCCCCACCCAAGCCTGTTATTACCATGAATTGGCATCAGAGCAGCAAAACACAAGTTCAGGTACTTGAGGTGCTCTGCTCAAAGACCCTGGTAAAGGGCAGTCCCTGAATTTAAAAATAAAGGTGCTTAGTAGATGACAGTGGCAAAAGGCAGTGGGAAGAAGCAGTTACTGCTGCTGGGGGGGTCTTCAAGAGCTGACTCAACAAACTAGTATGATCTCACAGCTGACTACTTTGAGCAGGAGTTTGGGCTGGAGACTGCCTGAGGTCCCTTTCAGCCTGAATGATTCTATAATTTTATTAAAGGCACAACATTTTTAGCCTTGGAAGGTTTACTGTAGTCTGCATCACCTGAATATTTGAATTCAATTTGCATTTCTCTGCTAGAAACATTCAGGTGTTCCTAAAGTAGGTGCAATGTGTGCTTTTGTGAAAACCCACAAGTCTTCATTTACCTTTAAAATGCAACCCTATCATATGCAGGCAAAAGATGAGAAAACCTTGTGATTCTGTGCCAGGCTGCAGAGTTGTCTGCTTTGGCAGACCTGCCTAACTGCAGAGTTTTCAGGTTCAGGTGGAGGACAGCCTCTTGTGAACTGAGTGATTAAAAGTCACACTCTTTAAAAATGCCCCCAGCAAACGAGTGAAGAGATCTCTCTCAGTGTCAGGGACGTTGTATGTCCTCCATTCCCCTGTATGTCCCTTTGAGGGGTTTGTATATCCTGAGAGCAATGAAATGCTGGTACCCCCAAACAAATACTGACCTTGGCTTCTCTTTCAGCATCTATGACCCCTCCTGTCTGCTCCTGCAGCAGTGCATATGCTCTCTGCAGGGCCTGGTACTCCTTTGTCAGCTGCCGAAACCGCAGCTCTGACTCTTCCGCTGCTAAACCCTGAAGAATAGGAAGGGACATGTCTGAGCACTGGGACAGCAAAGCACTGCCAGAGCAAAGAATGCAAGTGTGATTTGTTAAGCACAGTAGTTGGTTTACAAGTCTTGATTCAAATAGCTTTTTGAATCACAATGAGCTTGCTGTGATATGAAATAATAAGAATGGGGAGTTTATATAGCATTTATAGGTCTTTAAGCTGAAAGAAATGTGATAGGTTTGTTTCCTTGAAGGGGGAATAGGAAAAAAAACAACCTCAAATTGCAATGTAGTCATAGCTGTAGACTCTATGGACTAGGTTGTGGAAGAAACTCTCAGCATTTCAGTATATGAGTAACCAAAATAAAGGTCAAACTTAATGAAATACTTATCACTCAATATGCACTATAAAAACCTAAGTGTTCTTTAGAGCCTGACCACTTTTTTTGGAAGTCATAGTATGAAAACCCGTATTTGTTATGGAAAGAGTCAGATCTTACCTCATCCAGATCATCATCTGGGGTTGCTGGTGTCCTGTCTGTTCTATATGAGGCCACAGAGGATGTTTCAGAGTCCATGGAATCATCATCATACCCAAAAAATGTATCCACCACATGTCTCTATAGAAGGGAAAACAAGATTTCTGAACCTTCTTGGAAACTCGTAGCTTGAGTTGTGGAGGGGGGCAGGGGAGAGTTGCTAGTTACTTAAAAGACAATGTATGAAAAACGAGCAATGGGCTTCCCCTGCAATTACCAAATCCAAACAAACTCAAACCACACTGAAGATTAGATCTTGTGCTGGTGGAGAATAAGTTTGCTGATTAACTTTCCCGAACCGAGGATCTGTCTGAGAATTGTTTTGTTAACCACAAAGCTCTTCAGAAGACATCTATCAACATGCAGACAGGTAATACCACAGAGAGCTGGAAATGTGTGCAGAATGTCTCCTCTCACGGACACTGCTGATACTTTTAAAGTCTCGGTGCTTCTCCTGCTGATATTGCTGCTGGACTAAGTGAGTGAAAGCTGTGCTCATACAAAACTAGCACGAAAGAACTTTTATCACATCTTTCCAGGACTGCAGTAACCAGCACATGTTGCAAGAGATTGCTCACACTGCACAGTTTGGTTGTATGTCTGACGCTTCACTATCGCCAATCTCAGCAGCTGAATTAAATCAAATGAAAATGGTCAGATGTGTCCCGTGAAGGCACAGATGTTTGACCCTGCAGGCTTGGTTTCAGGGCACAGATTTGAGCATTTAAATAGTTGGCTTTTGAATAATTCTGCAGACAAACTGATCTATGAGCAATTAAGATGCACTTCTGCTTTGTAACATTTTTCGCTTTTGCTGACAGGTTAAAACCTTCTAAATCACACAAAAAACATGTACCAAAGATGCCAATTACCTTTTGCATATATTATAATTTTTGTTCAGTGTGTTGTCAAGGGAAGATAATTGCCATATTCTCTGATGTTATGCTCTCTGGTTTAGAAATAAAGTTTACTGATGAAAACACTTTTCAGTCCTTGTCTCCCACTTGTGTCTACTGTGTATTGCTTCACAATCCATATAGAAACAATGTGATGGCACCTCTAGGATTTACTGGTCTGAAACTCCCTGTGTGTAGGACAGTGTTGCATTACTTTCATAGAACATGCTGATGCACTAAGGGATGTCCTTGGAGGACCAAGAGCAAGCAAGCAACCAGTATTTTTGCTGTTTGGAGGTGGGACATGAGTGTTGCAAAATCATTCTTCACATCTAGCTGATAAAGGAGCTATTTGAACCACTACTGACTACTCAGCTCTAAAATTGTTGTAAATTATTCCAGTTTTGGATTTAACCCAATTCAGGTTGATACAAAGGCCTGTGGAACCGAGCAGGAGGGAACCACACTCAATTTCTCAGGCAGGAACTTCTACTTGAAGAGTAGAGATGCACAAGGATTTTGCTTTAAACCATATGTGCTGTGAAAAATAGATCCCAGAAAACAGTGGGAAGGTCTCTTGAAATGTAAATAACTCTCAGACTAACAGACCTTGAGACCAATATTTATAGAAACCAGATGGAAGGACGATTATTGCTATTTCAGGGGGAGGTGGGAAGCCCCGTTTTGCTGAAAGTAAAATAGCTGCACACCCTTAAACGAATTTCAGAGTGGATTTAAAAAGCTCTCCCAAAGTAACTAAGGTGTTTATAAACCTGATTGTTAAAGCAGATTGTTATAATCCACAAAGCTCTCTGTAATCTGATTGCTAAAGTGTGTTTTCCTACGCAGCCTACTAGCATTTTGTAAACTGAAAACAATTTTTCTTCTTACCTTAATTGGTTTTGAGCTCCTTTTATGCTTCCTGCGACGAATGAGTTTCTCCCTGTCCTGGAAAATAAGATTAAAAAATTACTCTCTCTTCTTCTTTGCAGAAGGCCAAACCTACAGAGGAAATAAATCAGAACTTCCAGTGGCTCTCTGCATACATTCAAACAGGAGTCTGATTCCAGGTGGAAGGGAGGATTCATATCCAAATCTGAATGTGTGTCAGCTGAAAATCACCTGAAGAAAGCCCTTGTGCAGTTGCCTTGAGCAGCTGTCAAACAACAGGCACTGAGGGATTGCCCTCCAAAATCCCTGGGAGACCTCGTGCACGGGACTGGTTTGGACCTCTGTCTGCCTTCCCTGCCAAGGAGATGCTGCCTCTATCTCAAAGTCATTAAATGATGGGAGTGTTGATCTCACCACTCCTGGCAGTGATGTCTCAGAAGAGACAACAGCCTGTTTTGGAGTCCTTCTCCTTCTCCTCAATATTATAATGCAAAATCAGCTGACAAACAAATTGTCAGCATTAAATGAAAGAACATGCCTTGTGAACATGTAGGTACCTTCCCAAGCTCCACAGTTCTTAGTCTGCATTCCTTTCTGGAGCTCAATTCACACACAGTGTTATGCTTTGAGCTGTAGAGGCTGATGCTGCACTAGAAATTCAGTTAAACTGCACACATGCACACCTACATCTAAACACCTGCAGATGTTAAAAGTAAGCAAGGCATTAACTCTCAGACCTCTGGTTAGAAGAAGAAATACCACCAGTAGTGGACAGTACACAGCAATCATTCCTAATTTCCCAGTGCTCTGGACATACCCTTGTTAACTCATCGATTATGTTCTGCTGTTCTATGACCTGAAGCTTTAAGAATTCAGTTTCTTGTTCCTCATTGGCCTGATCCAGGTCATTGAGAGATCTTAACTTCTTTAGAGGGGGATGTGATGTTATTTTTTCTCTCTGTGGTAAGAAGAAACAGATAAAATAAGCTCCAGCACCTAAAAGACCATCTTTTAGTTAAAAATTAGACGTTACCTCTCATTTAAGCTGTACAGCCCTTTGAATATGCTTCAGCTAAACCATTTTTATTAATACCCATCAGTGCCTTTTAACAATAAAGCAGCACAGCAAGGCTGAGTTCTTCAACCAGAACAACAAATCTTTATCTGTTTAGTTACGGTGTGTCAATACAGCTTCTGCAGCAGCCCTTAAAGGTCACATACTGCAGTTCTTCCCTGGTCACGCATCAAGATGCCCCCAGATGTGGCAAATAGAGTTGAACCTGTCCAGTGGGTATGCAAATAGCATCTACTCCCATGACCCATGTGCTTACTGATGCTCAGTGTATGACCATACACAGTGAGGAAACGGACATGCTTTACTCATGTGAAGGACATGCATCCAGTCAGAGCAGGAGGGAAGGCAAAAAGTGGTAGTAACAGATCTATTTTAACTACAAGTCCATATCCTGCCTGCTCCTGAGCATGTGTGGGAAAAGAGATGGCTACAGCCTGTGAGAATTACTGTAGCCACCGACAGCTCACTAAGGTTCATGATTTGGGCATCCATAGCATGAAGAGCAGATGTCAGGGAGCTGAGTTAGAACATATATGCTGTGTGTGCAGATATGCACCAGCAGTGCTGCCCACTGATGCCTAATGCATGCAGATTCCCCAGTCCCTTCTCTGCTCTGAGAGAACCCAGGGCACTGTGATCTGCACTACCACTGCTGTGGAAGAATAACTCTGACCCATGACTCCTGCAATAAGTTTATCTGTCTTCTGGGCATGGGTGAATTGCAGTCTTAAAGTGGATTAACCTTGTAACACTCAAGTCTTTTTTCTATGAGACAAGAAAGTGAATCTGATCATCTCAGCCTAATCACCAGGAAAGCTGCTCCCACTGCAGGGCACTCAGCCTGCTCGGGACAGTGGCTGCTGCAAGCCAGGGACAAGGCCCACAGACACACTTGGCAGGGGAAGCTTATATGTGGCAACCCAGAACATCCATCTCCCTGTTTATTAATGCTAAAGCAACATCAGTGCATGTGTAGGACCCTGGATGCTGACTGATACTCAGGGCAATCCCCCTTGAAGGATATGCAGACATAAATGCTTTGAGCCCGCTTCATATAGCCCCTATATGTGAAATTTATAGCCCTAGACAAATTTAAACACCACCATTCTCCCTTTCCCATATCCATCTATCATGTATATGTTTTATGGAAAGCAGTATGTGCTCAGTGCCACACTAGAACTTAAGTTTGCATCATCAGCTCTAACAAGAACATATACATGCAAGATGAACATTATGCTGGCTGAAAACAACACTCTTAACAGCTTCCTTTTTGAGTTCCAGGTGCAAAATAGAACAGTAGGACATGCCTCAATAATGCAACTTTTGTTTTTTCTTCTTTTTTTTTAAGCAATTGAAACTTAATATTCTAAATTTGGGGATAGAATTAAAGACTGTGATTATGCATTCACCTAAATATATTGCCCATCTATGCATAATACACAGAGTTATAGTATGTAAGTCTATAATAACACAGACCTAACCACAGCTGTATATTAGCAATAGTATTACACTCCATATACAACAGATACTCTCTGTGTATATATACATGCATACACTATGAAGATTTGGCCACCAAAACAGACATAGATCATCCATTTTGCTCTTCAGTACCAACCATTTCTATATTTTCTTTAGTGACTGCTTTGAGTTTATCTTCCATGCGCTGCAAAGACTGCATAAGTTCATCATTTCTCTTCGTGAGGCACTTGTTCTTTTCCAGAAGAGGTTTACATTGTTTCTCAGCTTCTCGGACACGTTTCAACTGGATTGATAATAGTAATAAATAATTGTCATGAGAGACATGAACACACTTGTAATTTGCAATCTTGATAAGACACTATTTTGCAATTTTGACATCAAGAACATTGAGGAGATCCAAGCCAGCTAAACTGACATGAAAGGAGTGCATTAAGAATTATAGCGCAGGAATAAAAAAAACCAACAAGAGTTGAACTTATCACACTCATCCTTAATCGCAGAAGTAGGAATGTGAACAGGTCAAAAACCCAGTGTGATTCAACACACAGGTATCACCAGAGGAGAAAATCAGACAAAGATATCAATTCTCTGTTGTCCATACTCCCTAGACCCAGTACTTTAATATTCTCAGCCTGGTCAATTACTGGAGAGACACTATAGACCTATTTCATTTACAAGTCTCACCACACACTGCTGTTAACTCAAAAGTCAAGGAGGAAACAGAAGCATTCATGTGGAATCCTATAAAGCCTCAGTGCCTCAACTTCCATTGTGATTTTGTACTCACATAACTTCAGTGAAATTACTATTTAACACTAGGATAAAAAAAATCCTTCTCAGCCTCCCCTCTCTGCCTTTCCTTACGGCTCTCTACCTCCTCTCTCTGCCAGAGCAAAGCTCACACACCAGTTCATTTCGTTCATCAACGAGCAACGTGTTCCTGTCCTCCAGCTTGCGGATTGTGGCGTTCAGCTCCGCTATCCTCTTCTGGTTCCTGCGCAGGTCCTGTGGGCAACAACGTCACAGTCACTGATCCTCCTCAACATACATGCTTGGGAAGAGAATCCTCAAAGAACACACACACCAGCCAACCTCAGCTGCCATCACCAACAAGTTATCTTTAGGGACTTTTACAATACCGAACATGCCGGCAAAAATACATGAATTTTTGGAAGGAAGTGTCTGGTTTGGGGAATACTTTATTTGAAAACGTTAAGCTGTTTGAAAAAAGTAAAGAAAACCAACCAGATGATAATTTTTCAGGATGGGTAGAAAAAAGCTAAAACATTCCAATTTTTATTGCCTTTTCCTAGAGATTGCTTCTATTTGCTGAGCCACTACATCAGGTGAAAAGGTAAGGACAACCCTTTCAGTATCAATTGCATTTACTTTCTTATTCCTCATTTGTGTATGTGTAAATATGCTCTCACATATACTTTAGTTGTGTAAACACCTTCAGTTTAGTCACACAATGGGTGGGTTTATATATACATTTGTTGTGTAAACATCTTTAGGTTAGACACACAATGGGTGAGTTTCTATATACATTCCTTGTGTAAACATCTTCGGGTTAGTCACACAACAGGTGAGTTGCATGCTTTGTGAATGACACCTGTGGGAAGACTAAGACAGACAAAAAGGAGGATCTCCTAAGAGTCTCATGGATTCTCCAGCCCCTGCCCCTCCCAGCCCATCCTCCTAATTTTATCTGGTTTTGAGGATGTATGTTATCAAGGTAGTTATGGCCATCAAATGATTCTTTCAAAGGGGCACTAATTACTTAAGGTGTTTTATATTTGTAAATAGAACAACCGAGGAAACAAAGTTTTGCCCAACCAGCATTCTCTCTGAAGACTCTACAGACATAATTTTTCTGTAGTGAATAAAACAAAATGTTTTCCAGGGCCTGAGAAGCTATTTCAGCAAGCAAAACACATCCATGCTCCTGTTTTTCAGGGACCAGTAAAACCTGCATACAGGGCTGCTGCAGTGCTCCGAGCCATCTCCAGCCCTTCCCGGGATCTCTCTCTTGGGACTGCTCATGTTACACTCTGCCTCCTTCACCAAGAAGAGCTGCTCATCCAGAGCTTCCTTCTGCAGCTGCAGCTTCTGCACGTAGCCTGTCTGTGTCTCCAGTTCTTTCTCCAAGGAAAATATGATCCTGTCTTTAGCCTTGATCTCATCCATCTGAATGAGAGAAACACCAGAACAATATTACTGTGTGAAGGCAACAGCATTTCAGCCTTCTCCAATCTTGTAGTATATGATTTACTTAAGAGCACTGTTCACCCCTCAAAACTGCTCTACCAAACTGCACCAGTTTCTGCAAATCACTCTGGCAAAATAAAAGTACTATTATCTAGGAGTGATATGAATCATTGCCTGAAAACAAAACTTATATCTATGTTAAATTTTGCCTGAAGCTGCCAAAGATCCTTTCTAGTCTTGCAGCTTTCTAGGCTTGCCAAAATCCTCCCCATAGCATTTTTCAAAGAGTAGGGTTAGGTGATGGTCTCCATTAACTAGATGTCACTCTGATACAACTTCCTCCACTCTGACAGCAATACAGTGCCATTGGAAACCATTGTGTAAGTCTGAGAAAAGCAATTCTGGACATGTTCAAGGTTCTTATGCAAGTAAATAGCCTTCAAAAAGCCTTTCATCAGTTGCTAAAGATAAAACCATATAATACATATGTAGAACATGAGTTGATTTTACTAAATTGCTTTGTTTCATCCTGAAATTCACTGCAGTTCTTTTTTATACTAAAAAACTGAAAACAGCTCCTCAATTTCAGATGAGAAAAAAAGAAGAGTAGTTTGTCCTTAGGGTGAGGCAGAACAAGCAAGTGCCAGTGTGGTTTGGAGAGTCTCAGTGGGAGCACTAAACTGGGGAGTACCATTCCTAGACCACGGCACAGGGAAACAAGGCAACCTGCACCACTGCTGGTGTGGGCCTCTTCTGGTTCATTTTCCCCAGTAATTACTGAAGGCTATGCCAAGGCCAAATCAAAAAGTGTCTCCCCTCCTGCCATGGTTTAACATGTTCAAGGTACCATAACATGGGCTGGAGAAACCAACAAACTGCAAGTGCAGATGCAAACGCTCTTTATCTAACCCTTTTCACCACGCAGGTATTAACATCTCAGGAAGCCAGCTCCTTACGGACTAGGCCAACCCCTCTCCTGCTTTAAGTTATTAGCTGCCATCACAGTGCTCTAGCTGACTCACCATGATCTATCTCTTCCTGAGAAATGACAGTGAGAAGTTTGTAACACTTTTTCCAAAGTGAGGTGCATTGCAGAGTTCTGTTATGCACAAAAAGCTAAGATACACAGAAGGCAAACTCAGGGCAGCATAAGAGAACACACAAACTGTTTTGATTACTGACCAGGCGTCGGATATCCCTTTCACTCTCCCATTTGATCTTGGAAATGGCTTCCTGGTGGGACTGGTGCTCGCTCCGAAGATCCCCCGCCTTGATCTTATCGGCCTGGATCATGTTGTTAAGGGCCTCATCTACCTGCTTTTTGGCAGACTTCAGTTCAGTGATTTCCTGCAGAAGCTTAAGGCGCTCAGAGTCGAACTGTTTTCTGGCCTCCTCGCGAGCCTCGATGGTCAGCGCTGTCCGTACTTTGTCGCTGCTCCCATCCCGCAGCGCGCACAGCGCGGACTTGAGCCGCTGGATCTCGCTGTCCCGGACCTTCACCATCCGCGTCATCTCCTGCTCATGCTGCTTGATGAGGTTCTCCCTCACAGCCTGCAACTCCTTCATTTTCTCCTCATGGAGCTTGGCTTTCAGCTCCGTGATCTGCACGGTCTGCTTGCGCTGCTCCACCTCGCGGATACGCTTCGTTTCTTGGGTCTTCTCTCTTTCGAGTTTAGCAACCTGCATCGAGATACAATGAAAGTCACCTGCTGCCAACGTAACGTTGTCAAAACAAGCCCACCCAGACATATCCACGCCAACACCCTGCTGCAGACCCCAGATAATCCTCCACCCTCCTGCAAAAAAACATGGGCCAGCTCCTGAGGCACTCACCTAAGTTACACTGCCTTTACTCAAACAAAACAACCCTGTCTTCTCCAGGTGTCCTGCCTCCCACAGTGACACTACAAGTACTTTCAGTATTTCCTTAGGAAATAAGACTCTGTGTATGTGTGTGCATTTGTTTAAAACCCTTTCTAATCCAGCAGTCAACATCAGTCAAATTCACCAGAAAACTGGAGGGCTCAGGAATAGCAAGGTTCCTACAACTTTCATGAATGTACTGCTCCATTTGAGGGCCAGAGGCTTCTTAAACTTGTAGCTCAGTAAAAAGGAGTCTTTTCCAAGGGAGCCACAGGACATCCACAGCAAATGCTGCAAGCTGGGAAAGAATCAGACCACTGTTCTAGGAGAGAGCTGTGTGGCATCTGTTGAATTCTGTGATGCCACTTTTTCCATGTGTTTCTCTTCCTCAGCACAGACATTGCTATTTAAAACCAAATCCTCACTCACCTTAGATTTCTCCTGATGCAGCTCAATTTGAATGTCTGTTAGCTTGGTCCTGAGTTCCTCATTGGCAGCCTGTAGGGCAACAATCAGTGCCTCAGGCTTTTCGCCCTTGCTACGTCCTTTTTTTGACATGGTTTCTTATCTGCGAGAGTCCACGTGTTTATTTCAAATACAGACTGCCATCTTTTTCTGGTCCTTTCAGTGCCAGTTAGTTCAGCAACCACTGTGTGACATTCCTTAAGGTCCTGGACTCAGCTGCTTTGGAAGCCCTGCAAAAAGTAAGACATACAATTTTTTGTCAGTGGACACTGCAGCAGGACAGCTCACATGGTTACAGATCACAATAGAAAGCTCCCATCTCCAAACACTGCAATCTTTGTCTGAAAACCTGCAAGGGACACCCCAGCACAATCATGCTTCTGTCCACCAGCCTGGCCCACTCGTGGGGATTGCATGTATGTCCTTTTTCAGCTCTCAGAAAGGGGCACCGTGCACTGAAGACAGGAGTTCTTTTACTGTAAGGATTAGTGCTGTTGAAGGCACAGGACTAGAATGGACAGGTTATCTAATCCAATCCTTGCAGTCTGAGGTAACCACAAAGCAGACACCTCACTCTCAAGGATCTACCAACCATATCATTCTCTTCCCCTTCCCAGCCCTCAATCCCCTGAAAGATCTTGTGTCAAACTCAAAGACTTTTCACAGCACTCCTACCATCTGCCACAGGAGGAAAGGGCAAGTGCTGGTCCTCATCAGCATTCTGGGTCTCTGTAGAAGCAGAGAACTAATGATGTACAAAAGCCTGTTCAGATTGAAAATTGATCCCTTCACCATTTCCAAGGGATTGTAAAAAAAATTCTACCAATGGTTTCTGTCAACTGAATTTTATTGGGAAAATTCTGTCCTAAGCCAAGGTGATGCAATAAGCTTAAATCCAAGCACATCAGCATGATATACAGATCAGGAAGCCAAGGGGGTTTTCCATATCACTGAGAACACGAGTGCCCCTTTGTCTCATATACCTGTTGTTCAGGGTTTTTCAGTGGGGGGGAGGCGGTGGTGGTTTTTTTGCCATGGTGCCATGTTCACGTTCACATGGTCATTCTGACTTTCCTACCACATCCATGAAACATGCAGAAATGACACATCCATACTGATCCTGCTATCCTGAAAACAGTCCTCCATCACTCAGGGCTTCCTATGCTGCTCCCAGTTACACCACCTCTGAAATCTTGGCATTGCTTTGTATACAGCTAAACATTGGTCTTTTATGAACTGTTTTCTTTCCAGAATGAGCCACCTTGGATGCTTAGTCCTGAAAGAATAAAGAGATAAATAGAGGTGCCCAGCCTACAGATGGAATGCTGGGGTGCCTCTGGACAGCACAGAATGAATGGCAGCAAAAAAGCCCACGTCAAATGGCAGTACAAATGAGCTGGAGAAAGAACATATTAAAGGGAGAATCCATAATGAGGGTCAAAAAACATATTCTCAGTCTTCTACTAAAGGGTAATTTAATCCTTAACAGCTAATCAAACAGGCATTTTTATTTTTTCCTCTGCAGACTTAAACCAGAGGTTTGGTATTTAGTATGCACAGCCATTCTAGAGGCAGCAGTGATATGCTGAGAGCATAGAAATTTGTGGGACCCCAGGACTGCTGAGCTACTGATCTTGAGCTGAGCAGACAAGGCTTCAAGGAAAGTAGCAAAGGGCAAACAGAGAAAGCAGAATATTTTCTACTCCTGTGAAAGGAAAAATGGGACACAAAGCATGAAATTACTCTCATTATCCTGTGACAAAACACCAGCAACTCCATGGTTTAGAATCTGAAAGTGGGGGTTTTTTTTTGCTTATGAGCCCCCTTCCTTCCTCACTGCAAGCCTACACAGTTCATTGCTTTCACTAGCACTGTCAGGTTTAATATTATCCTGCAGGCTCCTCCAGCAAAAGCCTGCTCTCACAGCCAGGCTGCCAACAGTAACAACTCCAGGAGTTCTGCTATTTTGTGTGCAGTTTGCCATTTGATACAACTGATGTTTGGTCAAAACACAAAGATTTGCTCTGAAAAGCAAAGGGCATCACTTAATAACTGAAGCCACCATCCTGATCTTTTGAAACGCGAAATACTAAGAAAACAGGAAGCACCAGAACCATCTGAAAGGGAATGACACGTGTGGATATGCACTGTCTACCTGGCCTGCAAAGAATGAATGTGATAAAGCTGGGCATAATGTCACCAGAAGTGCAGTGCTGTGTGCAACTTTCCTGGTGAATGAAAACAAAATCTCTATGGCATAAGGACAAAGCAGATGTCAAGGATGGCAGAATGACTGATGAATGTACAACTGCTCTTCAGCAGTCAGTGTAAACAGTGCATCCCTAAGAGGCCACAACCTTATTCCTGCTGAAATCAGTGCAGACTGCCCTCTGCCTTTTCTGAACTGTGTATGAGAGACAAAGAAAACCTTTCAATTAGCCCAAATTAAACAGAGCTTGGAAACAGGAATAAGCCCAAGAGCAGTACTGACCTCCTCAAATCTCTGATAGCTCCTTAAAATGAAACTAGATGCAGGTAACCCTCTGACTCTTGCTGCAACAGCAAGGAGGACCTAAACACCTCTGAAGCTGCTGCACACCTTGGAGGATACTGGATGGCAAGTCCTTCAGTTACAACACATCCACCACCCCACATCATGTAACAGATGAGAGTCTGAGCTGGGTTTAGCAGGGCTGAACAAAGCACTTCAGGTACTAATGGCAATTAATTTCAAGAAGTCCCAGCTCATGGGACTGGCTGCAGGTCTGTTCAGGAATTATCTAGTAAGGGAATGACTCCACAGGAAGTATAACAGCCACAGGCCACATTGTCACTTCCCCACCTTGGCTTCCACTGAAAGGAAAACTGCTTGGTTTGGAAGAGCCTATTCCTACTGTATCTCTTGATCTGGACATCAGGCTGGAGAACCAGACTTCACAGCAAGCTATGGGGGACTGCATCTTCTGAGATGCATATTGAGTTAAAATCTAGTTAATTCACTGGAGAATTTGCCACACTTCTCATGAGAAGTAATAGCACATTGCTATAGGCTGTGGAGTATTTATCAGTAAGAGCTCATAGCTACACTGGAACTTAAACTGCTACAGCAGTACAAAAAGGCATATTTGAGTCTCAAGGTTTGTTTGTTAGTTGTTTTGGGGGGTTGACTTCTGTTGGGGCTTGTTTTAGGATCAATTCAAGCTTAGCTGCATGATATAGGTAGAAGTTTATTTGTATTCACGCTCCCAGAGGTCTCAAACAAATATTAGCCTCTCAGCATGACAAACACTGAGTGTGCAGATAACAGTGTGTTGCTTCCCATGGCAGAACAAGCCATAAAAGCATATATGCCTCAAGGAAAACACTCCATAATCTTTAAGGTTGAATGTAAAAACACAAGTATAACTGGATGAGCAATTACACTGGAAGCTTCTTCCTATACAGTTTCTTTATTCTTTTGTTTTCCTTCCTTCCTACAAATCTCACCCATTGCTATTTCTTTTATTGTGGCTTCCATCCTTTCCTTTTTAAATTCTTTTTCCCTTTATTTGCTGTTTGCTCTAGTTCTTTCTTTTCCATGGCATTGCAGGTTACCTTCTTGTTGATATTTGGGTTTAGTAATACCTTAGGAGAGTACAGAGGAAAACAACTACATGTGCTCCTCGATAACAGCATTATCCTTTATATGAAGTGGCAAAGGAATCTGTTCTGAATGTTGCTCCCAATTATAATCTGTGTATAACACAGCTGACCTCTACCTACCTAATCCATTTCTCTCCCTTTCTCCTATAGTCATTTGTTGTTTTGTTTTCTCCAAACCAATAAACACATTTGTTTACCAAAACAGGCTTTGCATAATACAGAAACATACCTTTCTCTGTCTTTACAAGAGACACCTTGGGATGGAAACACCTGGGAAAGAAGAAATGAGCACTTCACCACCACAGCCTCTACCCTCTTGAATCAGAGTATTCTGGGCCATGAGGTAGGTGGAGATGCCAAAGCATTACAAAGCCCTGTGCCTCTGCTTCAGGGACTGGGGATCACTCAATCATTTTCATCAGTAGCTCTCACGCTTTTATTCTCTGCAAAATTGTTGCTGCATGATACTGTCCAGAGCAGGAAAATGGTCACAGATGTCTAGTTCCTTGAGTATGAAGTGTGCAGGTCTCTGCAGGGAGACACAAAGCCTCCACTGGTTACACCCACATCTCAGAAGTAAAGAATATGAAGAACAGCCCAAGCCCTCCCCTATCAGTCATTTCTCTATTGATTACAACCCTGAAACACAATTTCAGGCTGAAGGTGAAAAAGCAGTGGAATGAAGTTCGCTTTGAACACTCTTTTTTCTCTCTCTCTCAGCATGTATCCTGCTGATGAGGCCCTGGGAATGACTGCTCCATTTCAAAGTTCTTTTTAAGCCAGGCATGCCTTTCAGGGTTAAGCAATTAAGCAATTGCTTAAGACAAGACACAGATGTGCCCTGCCAGCACATGGAAGGTCAATCTGAACTCTTGGCACAGGAAGAGGTGGCTCTGAGATGGCTGCTGAGAGCTGAACTCTGCTGTCTTTGGCCAAGAGAACCCAAATCCTCCTCAGTCGGGCCCTCATGGTCACAGCCACAGTCAGACCTCGGACTTGCCTCTGCTACTGCAAGTCTGAGCAGGACCTGAATATGCTGCAGGCTGCCTCCTCCAAGCTCGCACTAAAATGTCAGCATGACCTTAGGCTGAACAGCCTTCAGCCTCTGAGGTGCTGAAGCCAACCAAGATGGATTAGTAGGGGCAGGAATCAGCTGATAACACATTTCTCAAGAGGGCTTGTCCCCTGAAGCTGTTGTTGCAGTGAGTTCAAACATATGCTTGCCTGTTCACATCAGGACAAGGTCAGTCATACCCCCTTATCTGAAAGGATTCACAATGAAACAACCCCACAAAAGATATCCGAAAGTTTGGGGAGGGCTGGAGTTTAGCCTTCCCCTCTAAATCTGTAAAAATCACTACTATACTGAATATTAATCTGTCATGTTGGGGTCAGGCTATTTCAAAGCAATCTCTTTTTAGGGAAGGACTTTGTCATGAGAGTTGAAGGCTCAAAATTGGCTCCTTTCTCTGTTTTGGTCTGCCAGGAACAAGACAAGTTGCAGAAAATGCCTTCCCAGTTTCACTGGAATAACAGCACAAGAGAAACAACACTGCCTTTGCAGGGGAAGTTCAGCCAAGTATGAAGG